CAGAAGTTAACTAAACCGCATATGCCTTTAAAAACAAACTGCAGTATTTTTTTTTAATAGAAAAAAACTGCTGTAATTTTTGTAAGGCAAGTTGTTCCACTAATGTTGGAGATTTGATTGCTCTGAGATCATGATCAAGAAGAAATTTACTTTTACTAGAAGGTTCTTGCATGATAAACCTGCTTAATTTAGAATAGTTATAAAAACAAATTGGGCTGTACTTTATTTTTCAACCAGTTTCCTATTGTATCAGTATGGATGAAAATAATTGTTGTCTTTTTACTGGGAAAACTGCATGTCTGTCCAAAATTATAATCTAGCCTAGAAAGAAAGAGTGTCCTATGTTAATCTGTACCGTTGTTTAAAATCAAGAGTTCAGATGCAAAAACCTCTTAAGTGCCATCTGAAATTTTATTTTAAAATTATTAATTTTCTCAGGCTTTTGTGAGTAGTTTTGGTATTCTCACTTGTATGGCAAAGTAGGTTATTGGTTCTTCCTTTGAAGTGAGCAAACAGAACATAAACATAGTAGACAAAAAAAATGCAAATTTTAAGAAAAAAAATTCAGATGATGCTTAGAATTTTTTGCATCTGAACCCAAATAGCACACAAAAACTTTATCATTGTTATGGTGGACACGTATTTTGCTTTGCTAAAGCATAAGGACCCACATCATTTATAGTGGTATTTTTAATTTTTATATATATATATATATATTTTTTTTTTTTTTTTTTTTTTTAAAGTGTTAACTATTTCTCACACTTTCAGACTGCAGCACCACAGGAGCCTCCATCATTCGGCGGTAGCTGCATGGGCCACAGAAACCGATGTCTTCCTTCATCTCTATTAGTCATGTGTCCCATTTCATGATTATCTTATGAAAAGCAGCAACTCCCCATAAGCATCGCCGCCGCCAGCCTGCGCAACACGTCTAAAACACCCAACAGATGGTCATTACACAAACAGGCTAATTTATCTCAAAGCCAGCAGTGGGGAACAAACAAAAGTATTTTACTTAATGTAGCAGCTTGACGTTGACTTGCAGCTGAGCTTTCAAACCGGCTCAAATGAAAGATGTCTTGTTTCCATTAATTCTCCAGCAGAGAAAACTCTTGTTTGTGAAATTGAAGTCAGATGATAGCACTGATCATTTATCAAAAGCCAAATGGCCTGTTTCATCGCCGGAAACTAGTTAAAGCTATACTGCCTTTTATTTCTTGCATTATTATTATAAGTTTTTGCAATACAAGTAAATAAAAAATATCACCATGCTGTCCACATGCTTGAAAACTTAACCTTTATTAAACCTGTATTTGATTAATCGTATAGCCCAATAATAATAATAATAATAATAATAATAATAATAATAATAATAATAATAATAATAATAACAAACTTAAGCTGTTTACTAACAATACTTCCAGCTGTCAATCCAAACCAGTTGTATGTGCTGCCACCGCGTGGTTATAAAACCAAAGTGCAGATTAAAGCCTTTGATGCGAGATGAAAAATAGCATAGTATAAAATATCTACAATCATTAAATAAAAAAGCAATAATAAGATAAAATAAAACTAATTAAACATTAGAAATATTATTAAAAGGTTATTTAGCAAGGGAAGAAATGTATTTTAATCTATGATTATTCATGTTCTATAAATTCTAGACACAACCTTATTTAGTACAAAGTATTACACAGACTGCACTATTCTAAAACAAAGCTTAGTAAATTCTATCCGTCAATTTCCCCCACATGCGACAAGTGTAAAGCTGCTCAGGGTACCTTAGCACATCTTTTTTGGTCTTGTGTTTAAGTTCAAATTTTAATTTTTTTTTTTTTTTTGTAAGAAACATTTCAGTTCTTCGCGGTTTAGGATTGTGTTTTACTCTTTGACTCAATGATAGCTATTTTTGGCTGGTCAGTTTTTTTGGTGACTCTCCACCAAAATGTACAGTTACCTGTTCAGTATGGCATGATCATATAGCAAAAAAAAAAAAAAAAAAAAAGAAAAAAAGAAAAGAAAATGTTTCTGGAAGAAAAATGTTAGACTTCTTTATTTCTAACTGGCTTCTTGGACTCACCTCCACTTTACATTTGGAAATAATTAGATATTCTGAACTCTGCAAAATTTGATAAGATGTGGGATCTTGTCTTTTTTTCCCCCTAAAACACCATAAAAACCTAGAATGTTGTTTAATTTTTGAAGATTTGTAAGGTTTTGACATTGCTGTGTCTTTTTGTAGGTCATACAGTTGAAGTCAGAATTATTCACCCCCCTGAATTATAAGCCCCCTGTTTAATTTCCCCCCCATTTTTTGTTTAATGGAGAGAGGATTTTTCAACACATTTCTAAACATAGTTTTAATAACTCATTTCTAATAACTGATTTATGTTTGTCTTTTTCATCATGACAGTAAATAATATCAAGACACTTCTAAGCACTTCTAAAGTGACATTTAAAAGCTTAACTAAAGTAGGTTAATTAGGTTAACTAGGCAGGTTAGGGTAATTAGGCAAGTTATTGTTTAATGATGGTTTGTTCTGTAGACTATCGAAAAAAATATGTATCTTAAAGGGGCTAATAATTTTAACCTTAAAATGGTGTTTTAAACATAAAAAAACAGTTTTTTTTTCTAGCCAAGACAAAACAAATCAGACTTTCTCCTGAAGAAAAAATATTATCAGGCAAACTGTAAAAATTATCTTGCTCTGTTAAACATCATTTGAGAAATATTTTAAAAAGTTAAAAACAATTGGAAAGTTTAATGTTCTGACTTTAACTGTTTGTCTTGCATGTCGCCATTTTCCCTTGTTTCTAATTGTTTCCCTTGTTATGCTTTATTTCAAATTTTGCAAAAATTATTGTTGTCATGATGGGTTTGTCTGTTCTTTGTTTTATATGTCTGCAAAAACTACAAAAAACTACTACACACACACACACACACACACACACACACACACACACACACACACACACACATATATATATATATATATATATATATATATATATATATATATATATATATATATATATATATACACACACACACACACACATACACACACACACACACACACACACAAGCCAAGGATAAAAAAAGTGCTGGTAGCTGTTACATTATATGAATCTCAAATGTATGGCTTGAGTAAATTAAACAAATTAATAATTGTTTAAATATTTATAATATATTATAAATATATAGATTTTTAATTTTACATTATTATTATTATTATTACATTTTAGTAGAAACCTAAACGTTTTTTTTTTATTTTTGATGAATAGACAATTCAAAAGACATTTCATAATATAATAAATTCCTTTAATATCATCTGATCAAGTTATTGATTCCTTGTTGAACATTATTTTCATGAAAACACCATAAAGCATAGCCATAAAACCTAAAACTTTGAAAAATGACTTATAACTATATATATATAGTTTATATGTTTTGAGGCACTAAACGTGTAAAAGAATATGTCAAAAGAATTATGGCAGAATTATTGTCAGAATTATTAGATACCTAATCACTTAAGACATAACAATAATGTCAAATTCAAACTAAGTAATACAAAAACAATCTAATTTTGACTTATTTTTGTCAAGATAATGATTTAATATACATTATTAATCAAATAAGTTAGATGATTGTTTAATTTGCATTTATAGACTAATATAAATTATAAACACATTAAACTTTATTATAATCATCAATAATAATACTAATACTAATACTAATAATAATAATAATAATAATAATAATAATAATAATAATAATAATAATAATAATAATAATAATTTCATTTTATTGCTGCTGTTTTTCTTTTTGTGGAAATTGATTTCTATTGAAAAACAGCCCAACAACATTATTTTAAACCTACAGTAAGATTCATTTTTACTATATATTATTTGCTCATGAATCAATCTTTGCAATAATGTTAATTTGAGTTCAGGTTGTATACTTTATCACTATATTATTATAAGTAATGCATTATTACTTTTGCCTAAATATTGTTCAGTGTCATTTTGTTACAGGGATTTTGATTTTAGAATTTATAAAAAAAATAAACAACTCAACCTAGGATCTTTATAGAAGTTTGCTAAATTAATAGAATATGTTTTAAACACTCCATGAGGACGCAAAGGAATCACTGCTTGCTTAAAAATAATTTAATTCTTCATTTTAAGCTGTTAGCTGACAATAATAGTGTTGTTTTAAAATGTCTAAAAAATAATTCAAACAGATTTAAGAAATCAGTTTTTACTTTTCTGTTTCATTGATTGTATTTAATAAGCAATAAAATTATTGTGGGCCAGTTTGCAATAGCAATACTTCACTATTTTGAGCAAGGTAGGGCCTCAAAAGGATTCTCTTATAGGGTCCCCAAATGTACAGGGCCGGTGTTCTGACGATCTGTGCTACCTTATCAGAATGTGCAATATGTCATATTTCATCTAAAAAAAAAAAAAACAGGGTTAGCACGTCAGCTTCAAATGTCTATCAGAATGAACTTAAAGAAGGGTGAAAAACAGGGATAACACATTTTGTCAGCTTCAAAAGTCAATCGGAATGAACTATACCACTCTAATAAACAAATAAAATATAAAACTAATGAAAAAAAAATAAGACAGTTTATTCTAATAGACATTTGAAGCTGCTACACCTTTTTCTACATTGTTCAATAAAGTAGTTAATTTCGAAAGATATTTGAAGCTGATAATATGTGCTACCCCTGTTTTACATCCTTATTTAATGTGGTAGATAGATCCTTCTGATAGACATTTGAAGCTATTTTGGTATATAAGACATGACAGATTAAGCTACCGGTAACATATTCTAAGCAGGTAGCACAGATCGTCAACACCCGGCCTGCTTGAGGCTTATACACGTATATGCAAGCTGTAACCCCTTTGCATTCACTGTAACGGCCTCTAGTGGCTAATTGCTGTAAAAGAAAACGCTAATTTCGTAGAAGTGACGCGGGTGAAGTTTGTCTCTTGCGAGGCACCATCCTCGATACCCTTTCCCCTTTCCCTCTCTCGTTGCAAGATTTCCTTATAACTCGTAATGTTTTTACATTTTAAATTCAGTGCCTTTAAGTCGCTTTTTCCTTAGTTTTCTTAGTTACGTTATATTCCGCGTCTAAGTGGCATGATGTTCACGTCCACCGGTTCGTGGGGATTATGTAAGTACAGTTCAAAACCCATCATGTCAAGAAGATCAGATCAGATCAGATCCGTCTGTCTGTCAGTCATTCAGTTTTAAGCTCAGTCATCATGAACCTTCATCCGATTATTATTGCACTTCACAAATGATCCTGGCTATCACGTCAGTTTGATTTGGCTTATGAATTTAGACAGGAAGTGTTAGGAGAGAAATCAGCTTCTTCTGGGAAATTGCGACGCCACAATGTATCTCATTATAACCTATTTAATTTTAAGAGATTGACAAAAAGACAGAACTCTGCTTAAAACCACTGTGATGACCACATTTCAAATAAACACCATTAAAAAACTGGTACTGCATATTGCTTATTTATGTAACTTTTGAAACACCATTTACTTTTCCTTATGCTGTTTAAATCCGTTATGTTACTATATATATATATATATATATATATATATATATATATATATATATATATATATATATATATATAATTTTAAGTGATGCTCTGGGACTCTTTGAAAGTTAACTGTTCATTTACAAGTTCCTTCTTTAGTAAAACATTGCTGTTTGAAAGTTAATAAACGTATTGAAGTCACATAGATTTTTATTTTATGCTATGTTGTTTCAAAAATAATATTGTTATGGTTTTATAGTTTTACCAGTTTATAACTAAATTTGTAGGTTTCAAAGTTACATTCACTGCAACATAGATCTGGGGATCTCATAGGGCCATGTGAGAATTTTAGGAGTCCTTGGGAGTTTTTGGAGAAAAACTGTTGAAAACAATCTATGTTTTATTTAACAAAATGAAAATGTGATTGAAATAATTAATTAAATCTTTTATTTAAGATAAATAATTAAACATGTTTACGGTGGCTGAGAGTTTGACATGCTGCAGTTTAAGAAAACGCATGCAATTTAGGGCTCCACGATTAATTGAACTAAGATCACAATCTTGATTCGACCCTACACATCTTATTTCAGCTTTTCTATGATTCCATCAATTATATTTTCAAGGTCAGAAGAGAAGCAAGGCAGTCGCACAAGTCTTCACAGCAACTTTGACACCTTCAAATGGCGTTAAAAGTGTAACATACTGTATTTATAAGGTATAATTCACCCAAAAATGTCATTTCTGTTTTCATGAATATGACGTATTCGTGGCCGCAAAATCACATGTGAGCTGACCGCGAGCTGTTTGTTTACTACCGAGAACGCGCACGTGCATGCATGACGGCTACTTTAGTGAACACAACCTGCATAGGCTGTGAATAACAGGTAATGAAGTTGTAAATAACGATCAGTTGCACAGAGTGATCGTTTGAGAGCCGTGCGGGAGGCTTGATTTGCATGTATGTATTTTTTTCTCACAGTGATAGCCCCAAAAAAGTGAAACCTGTGCGCACATCATTTAAATGAGCATATGGCATTTTACAGTTATGATTATGACTAACATTTAATGTTTTTTCTTACATAGCGAACACATAGTGTTGTGCAGGAATATGATAATGACAAAATTCAAATTTTACCAGTGAAAACAAATGGTCTAATAATGTTGTCAGTAACAGATGACAAGCACATCTTAAACATAATAAATCAACTTAATAATTATGAATAGTTATATTCTGATGTTATCATTTTACAAAATTAATTTTAAGCAACAGTAGACCTATATATAGGCCTAAATGCTGATTTATACTTCTGCGTCAAATGCCGGCGTATGCTACGGCACTGACACATAGCCCTTCGCCGTGGCCGTCGGCGTCACTGACGTGCACCTGTCAAAAAATGTAACTACACGTCGCAAAAACGCGTAGCGCAAGCTCTGTGATTGGCCACCTTGGTAGCGCTGACGAGTCTGGGTGGGACCGAGAGCCGCGCGAATGGTGCGAGCGATTGTTTACAAGTGTGGAGTCCCGTGAAGGAGCTCCGGATGGAAAGTTTTGTTTTGTGTTTACCTCATAGTTAAAGTTGTTGCATGTCTGCCAGTTCCTGCCTCAAAATGAGCGAGTTTGAGCCACTTGTCCATCCCGGAAGTGTTCAGGAAAAGCAAAAAAGCAGCGAAGAAACTCGACACAGAGGACCATTTACACCTCACTGCCAACTAGCGTTTCGGAAGTGTTAATGCATTGCAGACCAACAGAGACAGTGCGCAGAAGTATAAATGCACAGCCACGTGCGTTGCATGCGCCCTGGGTTACGCCGTCACTTGACGCAGAAGTATAAATCAGGCTTAATATTATTGTTGTTGTTTTACCATATGTTTGAGAATTAACAACAATAATAGTCTTATCATATTAACCTTTATTTTACATTTACAGAATCGTGAAAAATCATGATCTTAATTTTAAGCAAAAAAAATCATGATTCACATTTTTGCTAGAATTGTGCAGCCCTAATGCAATTGCAAAAATGCCATCAAATTGAGAAAACATCTTCATCTATTTGACAGCAAACATGCTGCAAATTGTCACAACACAAACACATTTTTAAAGAAGGAGCTGCATTTTTACACAATGCAAACAATTTTCAAAAAAACACGCTGCATTTTCACACAACGCAAACAATTTACAAAAAAGTATGGCATTTTTAAACAATGCAAAAAATTTACAAAAAAAGCACTGCATTTTCACACAACGCAAACAATTTACAAAAACCCACTGCATTTTCAAACAACACAAACAATCTACGAAAACATGCTGCTTTTTCACACAACACAAACAATTTTCAAAAACGTGCTGCATTTACACATAATGCATACAATTTACGAAAACATGCTGCATTTTCACACAACGCAAACAATTTACAAAAATGCACTGCATTTTCACACAACACAAACAATTTACGAAAACACGCTGCATTTTCACACAGCGCAAAAAATTTACAAAAACATGCTGCATTTACACATAATGCATACAATTTATGAAAACATGCTGCATTTTCACTCAACGCAAACAATTTACAAAAACACGGTGCATTTTCACACAACGCAAACAAATTACAAAAACACGATGCATTTTCACACAACGCAAACGATTTACAAAACTGCACTGCATTTTCACACAAAACAAACAATTTACGAAAACACGCTGCATTTTCACATAATGCAAACAATTTACAAAAAAGCACTGCATTTTTACACAATGCAAACAATTCACAAAAAAGCACTGCATTTCACACAACGCAAACAATTTACGAAAACGCACTGCATTTTCACACATACCCAAACAATTTATGAAAACACGCTGCATTTTCAAACAACACAAACAATTTACGAAAACACGCTGCATTTTCACACAACGCAAACAATTTACGAAAACACACTGAATTTTCACACAACACAAACAATTTACGAAAACGCACTGCATTTTCACACAGCACAAACAATTTATTAAAAATGCTGCATTTTCACACGGCGCAAACAATTTACAAAAATGTGCTGCATTTACACACAATGCAAACAATTTACGAAAACATGCTGCATTTTCACACAATGCAAGCAATTTACAAAAACAAGCTGTATTTTCACACAATGCAAACAATTTACAAATACATGCTGCATTTTTACACAACGCAAACAATTTACAAAATAGCACTGCATTTTTACACAACGCAAACAATTTTACGAAAACACGCTGCATTTTCACACAACGCAAACAATTTACGAAAATTACAATTTACGATTTTTTTTTACACATTTTTGGGTCCACTCGAAATATTTCTGTTATGTTTTGATGTTTTTGCAAATGTTGTAAAAAAATGCAGGCGTTTTTGTAAATAATTTATTACAAGGTATTTGTAGTGTAATATACAACACCAACTCAGACAATATATCACTTCAATATCATATATCGCTAAAAATATTAATACAAGTCACTTTTTGCAACCTTTCAAGGTTAAAAGTTGTTGGAAGGAATTCAGTATTGCAATATAAAAGCATAAAAAATTGTTGAAAAATAAAAACGTGTCACAAAATATGGAAAACTGCAAATTTACGGATATTATTTTACAATGTATATAATAATCTAGTTATATATAATGATCTAATACTCAAAATCATTAAATATAAGATAGGATAATTTGATAATTAAAATAAATGAATCAATCGATTAAATACATTTTTAAAAAATCATACATTTAGTGCAAATGGTAATTTACAGAATACTTAGTTTGATCGAGATTTATTAATTTTCCTTCGACTTAGTGCTTTTTTTGTCAGGGGTCTTCACAGCAGTATGATCCGCCAACTATTCCGGCATATGTTTTTTGTTGTGGATGCCCTTCCAACCACAACCCAGTACTGGGAAACACCCATACATTTTCACATTTACACGCACGTACAAACTACAGCCAGATTAGTTTATCCAATTCACAATACTGCATGTCTGCGGTTTGGACTGTTGGGGAAGCCGGAGCACCTCAAGGAAACCCACACAACACGGGGGGAACATGCAAACTCCACACACAGCTGGGACTCAAACCAGTGACCTTCTTGCTGTGAAGTGACAGTGCTAATCACTGCTAACCAACAGATTTTGCTTTGCTCTCATTTATAATCTACAGGTTTCACTGTATAAATTGGGTCTTTTTACATTATTCTAAAGATTCCCTGCATTTAATATGATCATAGCTGATTGCATGAGGATGATCATATAGCCATTCAAAAGACTGAAAACCCCTGACATTAACTAGTGTGTCTGACAGATTCACCTAAAGATCCAATATGTCCTCCAGTTAGAATATGTACTTTAATTTTTTATGTCAACAAAAGATCTAATGATGTAATTTTATTTCTGTGTTGTACAGATAAAGCACCCCTGTCGAAGAGCTTACTTCTGCTTCCTACAGTCCTCACTGTGCTGCTGACTGTGCTTCTGCCTCAGTACCAGGATCTGTTCATATACAACATCCAGGCCATCAGGCAGGGCAAGCAGGTGAGATATACAATCAAAAACCAAACTTATTCATACACCTTCAACATTTCCCACATTATCAGAGTTAATTTATTAAAATTGGTAATGGTAGTAGAATAGAAACTGATTTTTTTTTTGCGTATAATATATGTCAAATAGCACCAATTCTAGTATTAATTAGTGGCTTATTACCTGCCTATAGTTTAAGTACACATGAAATCAAAACTAACCATATTGATTTTGTTAGCTCACACTGCTAGTTTTGTGGTGAACAATTCATCTGCATGTCATTAAGAAAAAAAATGTTTGTCCTTGTTTGTAATCTTTGTTTAAAATCTTAAAAATCACTTCCTGTATTACGTCTGTCTGAGGTATTGGGTGTAGTTAACACATTTAACCACATCCCTCCAACTGTCTGTTTTGACAGCGTTGTGATAACAAACAGAAATGGCGAGGATGCGTCTGTTAGGTTCTCATAACTGTCTTCAAACCCTTTTCCTGATCTTTCTGAATGAAATGCCTATTTACTACATCCAATCAGCTTGCAATAGGAAAAGCATGCCACACCTACTGTTTTCTCATTTAATATTCAGTTTCTCTAGGAACTGCGTGACAATATGGAAAATAATGTTTGCTTCATGCAGATAAGATGAAGATATTAGCTGTTAATTAGTATTAGTATTAAGTACATATTCTGCATGGTCTTATTCTACATTTCTGATCCGAAATCCAACTGCTGTCTAATAAATATTAAGAAGCAGCAAATTAGAAGTCTATTGAGTTAAAAGTCATAGTTATAAGTTTGTTAAAGGGGTGGTCCACTATGATATCATATTTTAAACTTTAGTTGATGTGTAATGTAGCTGTGTGAACATAAACAACATCTCTGAATGTAAAAAGTTCTAAGTTCAATGCAAAGGGAGACCTTGGGTTTTACAGAGTTAGCTTAGCAAAGCCTACAATGAACGAATTTTGGGGACTACAAAAAATACTTCCGCCCCCTGTGAGATCACAAACGTTCATTACTGCGCATCCAAACTGAGCAGGTAAGGGCCGTGGCCAGAGGCGCTGTAACGTTATAGCAGAGATGAAGCTAAAAATGCATCTAAACACGGCTGTTTCCACAGAGCTTCGTCTGTTTCTGTATTTGGGCTTCCAAAGGACGCGACACAAAGATAGAAGTGCTTACAGTTCAATATTATGTTCCAGAGAATTATAAAATACATAGCAAGCATGATTTGACAAAACAGCTCCAGAATCTCTCCCAGTTCAGTGCTGGATTCGGCTAAAATCTCAAACCAGAAGCTGTGAACTACAACCAGTAAGTGCTTTTATTTGTTAAAATTGATCATGACATGTACAGTGTCTAGCGTTAACGGTATGCTGTAGCAACGATGTAAACAATGCGAAATGCTGCTTTGCGAGCAAATGATTTAGCTAGAAATTCATATTTATCAGTCAAACTGCTGTAAACACACACACACACACACACACACACACACACACACACACACACACACACACACACACACAACCACACAACCACGCAACCATGCGCGTGACCGCATTGATTGTCTTCAGGCAGCTTTTCTATGCGTTTCACATCTCAGATAATGAAGTTGCAAAATATATGTGGATGATTCATATTACTTACACCTGCATATTCTGGATACACGTGAAAGACGTTGTGTAACGCATAGAGTTAAAAAAAATACAGGTTAGCTTACCTGACTCATGGTAGCAGCGGAATAATAAATCAAGGCTCACACAGGTAGCATCCCACATCTTGTGCTTTATTCCTCTGTCACGATATTACAGAAAATAACTTAATCCGAGCATCAGAGAAAAAGAAAGTCCTGCGCACTTGCGCTTTTTACAGAAAGTTCACACATTCACACACACACACACACACACACATAGACGCAGACAACATTCACACCACACACACACATAGACGCACACGCAAACGCTCTTAAAGGAGCCGCACGCCATTTTCACTCGTTACAGACACTTGTCAGATTTTATTTTAGAGCAGGCAGGAGGTTGACTGATTGTTTACACAGCAGAAAAGAGCGTGCTTTTACGAGCGTGACGTGGAGCCGATCCGCGAATAGCAGCACATTATGACGATGATCAATCAGAGTCACTTAAGCCGAGTAGCTGTGTATAATCAAAGTGAGATATGTGAAAAAATAACGCGATTTCCTTCAAGTGAAACATGAGCACACATTGCTTCACATTGCTTTGCAACATTCTGGACCACCCCTTTAATAGTGAGAATTGTACCTTTAAATAAAGTGTGACCATTTACTTTGTTTTGCTGTACTTACTTACATAAATGAACTTTAGTGTCCTGCATCCACTAGTAAAGATATATTTATGTTATATAATTTACTTGAACAATTGGTGATTTCCAAAAATCTAAATAATTTTATTAAACCATTAAAATGTACATAATTTATCCATAACCTACTGAAGATAAGAATAATAGTTTCTGTTTACAGCATTTACAGTGCCTTTACAGATTGCATGCAAGGTTTCTATATTTATAACCACCACAGAGGATATTGGGGGTTGCAAGTCACTGGGATTGTTATATTGGGGTTTGCAGGCTGAAAAGTTTGGGAACCCCTGCGCTATATTAAATGTGCAATTTTAAACTATTTATATTGTTCCTTAATGTTTGCCTTGTTATTATTATTATTCTTAGCAAGTTTCTTAATCCGTATTTAAAAATAAATTCTTAAAAATAAGTTCTTAAAGTATAAAATTTTAGTCAATAATGGGTCAGAATAAGTAAATAAAATGGAAGAATTGTCCTAGTCCTAATTAATTGTTTAGAAATATATGATAATAATTTTTGACCAAAGCAAAAGTTCATTACGTATAACTTTTTTGTCTATCAGTCTCTTTTGAATTTCAAACCAGTGATGTGAATATTTGCCATTTATAAACTTATTTAGGTTTCTTCCTTCCTTGAATGTCATAGATTAGAGAAAGTCAGTGCATGAAGTGATATTTTGAGCACTGCGTTGCAGAACATTACATTATTTACAAATGACTGTGTGAAGACATTATATATGGGGACTTGCATGGATGCCTGATAATAAATGATTTCATCAGCAAATTTATAGAATAACAAATGTTGAATAACTGCGTAGTATACCCTGCTATAATTTAAAATATCATTTAAAATGTTTGCAGTCATTAATCAAATGTAATCCTGCATGAGCATCAAGTTGTAATGAAATGCGAATTGTTGTAAACTTGTCTCAGATTTGGTGTCAATAATAATGTAGCATAATACCACATTATATGATTGCAATGTAACATATAACATTGGATTTTAAAAGCATTTAGCAACTTTGCATTAGTATAATTAGTAAACGGGAATAACAGATAAATAATTCGTAATGCATTTGATTTTTTTCTGATTGTATAATCGTCTTCCAGCTATTGTGCCAACTTCCAGAAATAATGGAAATATTGCTTGCTCTTAAAATGAGTTTTTGTTTAAATTAGGGCTTTATTAAATAATAATTGTAATGCTTTATGTGTATAAATATTTATGACTGATAGCACATTTCAAAATATTCATAAACATTAATAAAAAGTCAGTTTGTGTGTTTGTGTTTCCATGGTTTTTATAGTTCTGGAGGCTGGTGAGTGGACGACTTTTCTGTCTGGACCTGAAAGACACTTTCTGCAGCAGTCTGCTTATTTACAATTTCCGCATATTTGAGAGAAGGTTTGGCAGCCACAAATTTGCTGTAAGTATTGGGTGTCAATGGTGGCTTTTTGTGTGCGTCTGCCTGTTTTTTTTTTTTTTTTAATATGAAAAGTTTGGAAAGTGCCATGTTCTATTTAGAAAGTTTCAAAATGGTTTGTGTATTTTGTAAAACATGAAAATACACATGAAAATAATAAAAAAGTGTTCATTGTTAGTCATTGTTTCCTCACTAATCCTA